ACCATAGAGCGACGAGTGACAATGATAGAGAACATCATGTATCTCCTTTTCAGGAATGCATATCTAAATAACTTGATTGGAGCATCTTTTGAACAATATTGGATCATCCCAAAGATAACATCTCACATTATGAAGGAATTTCTTCTTTTGATAGGGACTCAAGTCCGGTGGTAATACCTCACAAGAAAGGTAGTTGACGAAATCTGCGAACCAAGGGAGCCTCACTTCAACCTCAAACAAGTGTTCATCTGGGAATATTTGTTGAATAATTGGGGTTTCGTCCACTTCCAATTGCTCTAACCTGGAGAGATGATCTGCAACCACATTTTCTGAGCCTCTCTTGTCTCGTATCTCGATGTCGAATTCTTGAAGCAAAAGAATCCAACGAATCAAGTGAGGCTTGGCATCTTTCTTAGTAAACAAGTAGCGAATTGCTGCATGATCCGTGAAAACTACCACCTTGGACCCAATGATGTAGGACCAAAATTTATCACAGGAAAATACCACCGCAAGCATCTCCTTCTCGGTGGTGGTGTAATTGAGTTGGGCCTCATTCAATGTCCTACTGGCATAGTAAATGGCTCAAAAAATCTTGTCTCTCCTTTGACCAAGAACTGCCCCAAATGGCTCAATCCAAACGGGTGCCACCATAACTGGAGCCGAAACCAGTTTCTCCTTGATAGCATTGAAGGCTTCCAAACAAGACTCATCAAAGTTGAAGACCATATCCTTCTCTAGGAGGTTACACAATGGCTTGATAACCTTAGAGAAATCTTTTATGAACCTCCGATAGAATCCCGCATGACCAAGGAAACTCCGGACTCCCTTCACATTTATAGGTGGCGGAAGCTTTTCAATCATGGCTATCTTAGCCTTGTCCACCTCTATTCCCTACGATGAAATTCTATGTCCAAGAACGATCCCTTCTTGTACCATGAAATGGCACTTCTCCCAACTGAGAACTAGATTCTTCTCCTGACATCGTTATAACACGAGAGAAAGATTGTGGAGGCAATGGTTGAATGTTAATCCGAAAATTGAAAAATCATCCATGAAACTCTCCATAATCTCTTCTACCATATCCAAGAAGATTGCCATCATGCACCTTTGAAAAGTGGCGGGTGCATTGCATAAACCGAAGGGCATCCTGTTAGAGAAACGGATCCAGTTATCAGAGTAACGGCGCAGCAGAAGTTTTAAAAATTTTAATGCCGAACAAGGAAAGAAGACTCGTGATGTATATAACAATAAATTAAATGCATGATCAAACATACCTTGTTTCTTGGACTCCAGAATATTTAGAGCGTCCACCAATGAATCTTCTCCACTATTCTCGAGCTCCTTGTCTCAGAGTGTGTGTGGGTACACGTGCTAAGGTTCCAAGCGATCGGTATTGCACTACGAACCTTAGATCCCGCTTTCTCAACCTTAACGTACTTTGTTAAAATAGCGATCTAGATTCGTTCTTCAAAACTTCAAGACAGGAACAAGTTGACCTCGATCTTTTTTCACTCGATAAAACCTTTCCTCTTAGTTTTGATTCAATGGAAATTTCTCTCTTATTTTTCCTCACACCATGAACGAATTCTTAAGTCCAGAAAATCCCAAAAAACATTTTTCCCTTGTCCTGAAGAAAGCCAAAAACGTTTTTCTCTCTTTCTCCCAAAATTCGTGTATCACCTTTTGTGATCTATTATTTTCTCTTGTTTCATGAAGCACTAGCCCTAATATAATATTTAGATCCTTTTTCAAAAAACAAATTTTCTACCCAAAAATAATTAATAATTATTTTTACTAGAAAATCTTTTGAACCAAAAGATCACACATTTTTTTTGGGCTAGGTTCTATGAACCTTATCCACGAATTTCCTTAGGAGAAGGACTCCAAAAATTCGTGCACTTATCTTTAGGAGATAAGGTTGTTGGTTTCAATTCAAATCAAGATCCTTTGATCTTCCAAAAGTCCAAATCCTATCTTGATTCAAACTCCTTTTAAAATTTGAATTTAAATAAGATTCTCTTGTTTGGATTTTAAATAAATATTTTCCACAAACATTATCCATATTAATTAATTTAATCAAATGGAATATTCTAGATTTTCTTTCTCTAAAAAAAACGTGAACCATCTTTTTTAAATGAAGAAAATCTATCAAATAAGCTCCATTGTTTAAACTAATTAATAATTAATATTAGGAATATATTTTAAACTATTTTGAAACAAAATCTATTTCCCTCCATCCATTAAAATTCGTTCACTTTAAATAGGAGAGAATAAATTTTGTTTTTCCAAAATTAAACAATTCAAACACAATCTTATTTCTAAAATTCAATTAACCAAAATAATTAACAAATAATTATTTTATCCACAACCAATCATATGTCGACAAATCATTATGTTTGTCCA